ATAATTGGATAAATTCGGCATATGAAAACACCAAAATCAATGATTTTTTTTCAGTGGCTGTGTGACCTTGTGTCTGACACATTCATATGCAAATGACTAATCTGTGAAACAAACAGGGGCGGAAACAAACTACTCGAATGTTTGGAAACACTCATTGTGTGTCAGATAGCTACTGATAACACATCCTAACATTGCTTTGTCTTGAGTTTATCTTTGAAACTTATAGGCACACAGATTAAACCTGTGCTGTTGATTTTGGAAAACACTACTGAGGCTGCCTTGCTTCCCTTCAGAAAATATACATTTTAACCAACTTACATGACATTCTATGTTATGTTGATTTTATCATATGAAAGTTTATAGTGCATTTCATCAATTAATAAATAAATGTGAAAATCGTAATTTTCAACACAAATAATAGTCTCGCTACCTTAAAAGGGATTTTGCTTCCTATGGATTGGTAGATTGCCCTGGAAACAGGACTTGGATTTTTTTTTTTAGTAAGCTGAAATGTCTTGATTTCTACACTTGATACAAGTTGGTGAGGAGAAAAAACACACATAATGTCATGTGACTTTAGTTTTACAGGAAGCCATTAGTACAGGTGATCCTGAATTGGTGCAGATAGTCTTACAACACAGAGATTACCAGAGGGCATCAGCTAGAGTGGCTGGAATACCAGAATTATTGGAAAAACTCAGAGCTGTAAGTTAATATTTATCAGACATGGGCACAGGGCACATTTTGATTTGATGCTTCGCTCACTATCAATAATTTAGACATTAAAGTAACAAATTTGACTACAAAGTACCCAGTGTTTTGGTGGAAATCTGATTGACTTGATGAATGTATTGTTTTCGTACATAAAGTCTGGACTTCTGTTTCATGTTTATTTTTAGTTATCCTAGCATGACTCTAAAATGTAGCTTCGTTTGTGGCTAGATTTTGAACATTCACTATGAAAAAATAAATATCTTGACAGACTTCGACTTGAATATGGTGATAGTGTTATGTTTAAATTTGTTGGAGTTGTTATTTAGGTTCAAGTATTAGTGATCAATGTAGCAATGAAGAATTCTGTCGTCAATGTGGCAATGAAGAATTCTGTCATCAATGTGGCAATGAGGAATCCTGTCATTAATGCGGCTATCAGGATTACTGTCATCAATTTGGCAATGAGGAATTCTGTCATTGATGTGGCAATGAGGAATTCTGTCATTAATGCGGCTATCAGGATTACTGTCATCAATTTGGCAATGAGGAATTCTGTCATTGATGTGGCAATGAGGAATTCTATCATCAATGTGGCTATCAGGATTACTGTCATCAATTTTGCAATGAGGAATTCTGTCATTGATGTGGCAATGAAGAATTCTGTCATCAATGTGGCAATGAAGAATTCTGTCATCAATGTGGCTATCAGGATTACTGTCATTACTTTGGCAATGAGGAATTCTGTCATTAATGCGGCTATCAGGATTACTGTCATCAATTTGGCAATGAGGAATTCTGTCATTGATGTGGCAATGAGGAATTCTGTCATTAATGCGGCTATTAGGATTACTGTCATCAATTTGGCAATGAGGAATTCTGTCATTAATGCGGCTATCAGGATTACTGTCATCAATTTGGCAATGAGGAATTCTGTCATTGATGTGGCAATGAGGAATTCTGTCATTAATGCGGCTATCAGGATTACTGTCATCAATTTGGCAATGAGGAATTCTGTCATTAATGCGGCTATCAGGAATACTGTCATCAATTTGGCAATGAGGAATTCTGTCATTGATGTGGCAATGAGGAATTCTGTCATTAATGCGGCTATAAGGATTACTGTCATCAATT